ATCTTTTATAGTCATCCAATATTCACTATTTTTAGTTCCCCAAACTTATTTCTTTGCAGGTAGCACTTTGTCAAAAGTTTACATCATTTGGGTAATAATAAACTTCTGAGTAGATACCGAGTAGTGAGGGATTTATTCCATTCCAGCATCTACTCTGGTTTACAAGTATCAAAATAGCAGTGTTCTTGCTCTGCAAGCCTACAGTGATAAGATTGAAAAATATCTAAATAACTTACAATTACAACGGATTTTCCTTCAACTAAATTAAAGTTAAATCACATAAATTTTAAGAAAAGTTATTGAGATTTCAATAACTTTGCAAGTCAAAAAGAGTAATTTCATTAAATTCCTTTTCCATTTCTCAAATTCGTTGTTCATTATAAGTCTCTACACAGTAAGTAAGAAATCAATTTATTTTTTTGAGATTTGAAGATATAAAATGCGAAGCTTCATATGTACACCCATTAAGTATCAGACGTAAAGTTTGTAGTTCATATATCTTATGAATTCTCAAAAATTAAGTCCATTTCTTATGACAACATTTTTGTCTGATGACTTGCCACAAGATTTTGTCTTTAAAGGGTCAATTTTAATTAAAAAAAATTGAAGTATTGTTTTGACGTCACAATTGATGAAGATAATTTGCTTCCCTATGGTATTTTATAAGAAATGAACTGTTTTCGAATTTGTGATGAATGTTAGGGTTAATTCTTTGGAGATATATTGTTTTAACAGACAAGGACATACCATCAGAATTGCACTGCATTTTGTATGACATTTGATTCAAAAGACTGCTATCTTTGTCTGAAATAGTTTTCTAACTAATCCAATTTATACCTTCAGACTCATTTTTTGATTAAAAATTACAAATATGAAATATGATGGAAACACGTTATAATAAAAATTATCTTGGAGCAAATTTTCAATGAAAAGCAATGATCCCCAAAATCGTCTGAGAAATTTCATTACACCGTAATACCTTATTAATACAAATGTAACCAGCGCTGATAACTTTACCAATATTGTATTGTAAAGTAATCAGTACACGTCGAATAAATAGAGGATATTCAATGTTTTGTAGATGAATATGGAATTTATTTCACGAGTGAGACAGGATTTTTTGATATTTTCGCGAGTGTGAAGCACGAGTGAAAATGTCAAAAAATCCTGTCTCGCGAGTGAAATAAATTCCATTTTCATCTTACAAAACATTGAATTTTCTGTTTATCACTTCTTTTTTTTTTTTTAATTTTCCCTTTGCCTCTGTCCTTTCTTAACACAGTGTCATAGGCTTGACGTCATAGTTGAGCGGTTGAGATGTCATAACTTATCACTTGTGAGATTGAAAACATTACATAGCATGGATTTTAGCAACATATTTGGGAAGAAAATTGGATTTTTAGCTCTTTCAAGATGTTTAGTTACTATCTTTATCTTATGACAGGCCAGAAATTAGTTTTTACTTACTTTGATATCCTTTCACACTGTGAGAGAATATCATTTTGGTATCCTTTCACACTGTAAGAGAATATCACTTTTATTCAATAAATAAATCACAGTATTTCACTGTTGAAACGTAATAAATGTAAACATACAACACAATATAAGAAAGATAACCGATTTAAAAATATTGAAGCAACCTATATGGATAAAATACCTCATTCGATTCAATGTTAAAATTCTACTCTAGACATATTGGATAAAAAATGGAGTTTTTGTATATATTTGTTTGGCGAAACTGGGAATTTACTTAACATACCTTTATTCGTGAATGTAATACTTTAATATAGGTTAAGAAACCTATATAAAAATGTCATATTTTTTGAAAATGCGCTTTAAAAAAACATTAAAAAAAAAAAAATAAAACAAAGATTTCGATAGAATATAAACATGCTTACTAGAAAACTAGAAAACTTGATAAGTAGAATTTTTAAAATAAAATCTTAATTTGATAAATTTCAGTCAAAAAGCTTTTATTTTAATTCTGAGGAAAACTAATATGATATATTAATTTATCAATTAAAAATAAAGAAACAAAGTTAAGGTAAACAATTAGCAGAGTATACTTATTAGCTCTTGCAAAATCTACTTAATAAGAACAAATCTGAACACAAATGGAATGTTAATGTATCAAATTTATAATTATTTTAACTAAAGGCTTAAGCTTTTACTGAGTTTAAGCAGAATAGTCAAAGTAATCTTATATATACTTGAATATTCAGAAAACAAAATCAAAATTCGGGGTCTATGATGCATATTTTAGGTACTACTACAAATGCTAACTTTTAGTTAAAACTGAGGTTTTTTTCTTAACTTTAACAATATATTTACTATTAAAGCCACAATATGATAATCAAATTCATCATTTTTAATTTAATTTAAAATTCGGGACCAGAATAAAATATTTAACTGCAGAAAATAATTCGGTGTGCAGCCTGCATTGAAAATTAGGGGTCTAAACTTAACAATACCGTATGTCTTTGAAAGATAAAAATTTTCTCATTAAAAAAATTACTTCCGCCACAAGATATACTTCCTTACTTATTTTTTTGTTTTTTAATGGAATTTAATCGTGGTTTTTTATTGAATATTTTAAAGTTGGAATTCTAGAAATTTTAATTTATTGTACGAAATAAATTATGATAAAGAATCTTATAAATAAGAGGTCTAGAAAAAATATGGTTTAATATTTTTTTTAATATTCCCAATAATAAAAATGAATTTGAATTTCCGTACCTCTATACTGGATTCCAAAACTTCATAATAATTCTTACAAACAAAGATACATAGCGGGTTCTAGTAAATGTTCTATCAAGCCTTTATTTACTCCTCACTGAAATGTTTATAGCAGTGAAGGAGAAACTTCAGGATTACTGTACAACAGAAGTTGTGTAAAGCAGATATGGATTCTTAAAAACTCCAAAGAACTTGAAATCACTAAATTCTACCGAGATCAATAACAAGAAACGTACGACTTTTCAACATTTAATACAACTTTCCCAAGAATAAATTAAAGTCCAGGCATTTGACATCATTAAAAGGTGCTTTTTTCAATAAAAATGGGACTCGTAAATTTTCTTACCTTGTCATCGGTCATTTGCAACATTATTTTTTAAAAAACACTCTGATTGTAAACACAAGTACCATGAAGTTGATATTAAAAAGATACTTGAGTTTCTGATTGACAATATCTATTTAGTTTTTGAAGACCGGGGCTTCAAACACTCTGTCGGAATTCCCATGGGTACCAATAGCGCTCCGTTATTAGCAGACATATTTCTGTACATGTGTGTATCCATATGAAGAATTTATACATGAGAAGAAAACAAATTAAAAAAAATGATACAAATGATAATTACCCTTATCACCAGCAATGGGGTTTATGTCTCTCAGTTGATTCGACACGCAAGAGCATGCTCTCCGTATGAACAATTTCTTAAAAGAGAATATCTGTAGTCTTGCTTAAATTCAACATTTCGCAAGTTCTATATCGATAAAATGACCTTGTCAGCAGATGCAATCTATCATTAAGTCAAATGCTGACCAGTGCTTCACCAATCGTGACAAGAAGGACGGGGCGGGTATGACTGGTCGGTAGGAGGATACTCACTCCTCCATGGCACCTGATTCCACTTCTGATGTTTTACAGGTCCGTGTTTACTCTGCTACTAATTTGAATTTTTTGAATGGACTTCTGAGCTTGAATATTGTTCGTGATTTCCATAGGTCATGGTAATTTGTATATAGACTGTTTAAGTACTGTACCACACAGGTAACAAATTAAAATAAGGGTGTGAAAAAGGCAATGATACCCCATCCCCCGCTCTGAACAATATATTTTTCAATTGCCAGAGTTCATGTAAAGTTTTCCAAAATTGTAGTGTTGTAGTTAAAGCGCTTAACATTAAGTCTCACTGACAGTTTTGGCTTGAGTTCCAATTATGCATGAGGACCTTTTTTCCAGACTTTAAAAACATATTTAAAACAAGTATTCCTTTCAAAGGAATCGTCGGCATTTGATCATGAAATGAGAATTATGAATTGGAAAAGGATCCTCATGCAAAATTGGAATTCGGGCCAAAATCAGAATCAGAAAGTTCGTAGACTTTTTCTTTTTATTTTACTTAACGCAAATTAAGATTTTTTTCCTACGAGTATTACATCATTTCTCAACGGAGTATGACGTGCACAAAAGATAGCCATATCAACATGCTTTTCTTAATATAACATATAACATATTTAATTAAAACAGATTTTAACCGGGCATTGTTGTTATATTTTTAGTATTTAGTTGACTGTCTTATACTGCCTTTAAAAAAATATATTTTGTATTTAGAAAACTGTAATATGGACGTTCATTTTGAAATGGGATGAGGGACATGGAATCAAAAGGGCTAACCTTTGTAAAGAAAAATAATTTTGCAAAAAAAAAAAATCAAGTTTTTTACAGAATTCCTTATTAAAGTTGGAAGGAAATAAAACAAAACGTATTCATGCATGTATTCTACTCAGTATATTAAATTGGTAAACGATTTTATTTTATGAACAGTAAATGAATATCCCTAGCAAAGATATAGCTAAGAAATAGTTTAAATGACATTGTATAATTTGTTGAATGAACTCTGAACAAATTATGAGCCGTGTGCAAAATCAATCCATACATTCTATAATTAGAGAGAGCGTCATCGTGGGTAGATGGAGGCAATGTGATTTCCTGGAATGTTATGGTTAATTGATATGTCAAGCACTTTTTTTCTAAAATCATAATGACGGTAAAATTTAGGATACGTCTAGACTGAAATCGATGAGATTTGCAATTCCTTTATTAACAATAGCATGCTGAAAGGACACAAAGCTATAAATAGAATAGGATTACATAATTATAAGGATTCCGCTTTTTTTTCATTCGATTTAACTTAGTTTTGTTACTTTTCAAAACATTACGCTGCATATTAGGACGGTGATGTACTGAAAGTGTATGTAGTTCCCCTTTGGTATTTTTGTGCCATAACAAGGTTTTGAGAATGCTAACATGGGTTAAATGTTTATGAATTCCAATGGATTTGAATGTTCACCGCAGAAAACTACACTAAATGTGAATTAAACAAAGTTTTATTAAATATATTTCAGACATATATTCTAATAATTAACTGAGTCACTGATTCGAATCTTTTTCATCTGTTTGTAAAATATATGAATACATGTACTGGGCTATTGACTAAAATTTCACTCTAAGAATTATTCTCCAAAAATGAATACAGAAAAACATCATTATGAATAAATCCTACATCAAGTGGAGGAATAATTTAAACTAAAAATACGATGACCTTTGTTACAAAATTGAAAAAAGAAGCCTGATAAATGTAGCAAATCTATATTCAGTATCACAGGGAAACTCAGATATAGAAGAGAAAAAAATTCCTTCTCACAACTAAACCATTTTATAATAACTGTGAAACATGGTTCACTGCTTTTTGGTCTTTTTTATATTTGTTCCTGTTAAGTTTGTTGGTCTTACAGAAGGCATTCTGGGTCATTCTTATGTTCCTTCCCCAGGTCAGCATAGCTTTCCTTCTTAACCATTTTATAATAACGGTCAAACATGGTTTACTGCGTTTTGGTCTTTTTTATATGTGTTCCTCTTAGACTTGTTCCTCTTACAGAAGGCATTCCGGGTCATTCTTTTGTTCCTTCTCCAAGCTCGCATGGCTTTCTTCCTGTTACGAGGATAAATCACTCTAGTTTCAGAGGTGTCTTGTAATGTTGGACCACAAGCGTATGGCAACATTGGTTTTTTGATGGTGGGATGACTAACATGAATAGTGTTGACCTCAATAATCTTTGTTACACTGTGCCTCTTTCTTCCACTCTGAATATGAGCTCGACATCCAATGATATCATTAAACACTTCATAACAAAATGGACAGACCTGGAAAAAGGAAACGTTGGCTTGTGGTTGAATTCGAAAATGCTTACATGTTTGTATATGTTTTATATATTTTGATTCCTCATTGAACCAGACATTACACAGGCACTTTAAAGCAGATGGTATATAGATTGTGTGTTGTCCAATAACTTTTCCTATACCATAAACATTTTCACAGTGGTTCTGCTTTGCATGATTGGCACACTGGTACATAGTGGGATAATAAGTAAAGCATATAGGGCACATGACAACTAAATCAGTCACCTGAGTTCTTTTTTCTGCATTCAGAAACACAGCTGCTGGGTCAATGATAGATTTACAATGATATTTTCCATCCATTTTATATCCCATTATTTCAGCAGCCCTTGTGTGTAGAGTACTCTCAAAATGGACCTTCATTTTTCCTTTGCTAGGCACTGTGAAGTCACAAAAATCACACTTGTAAAAGTGATGCTGATTTTTTACACCAAAAGCAGGCTCATCAAGCATATATTCGGATGAGCGATTGTTTGATTTTTCTCCAGAATTACTTATGCTAGATTCAGTTCGTGGTGCGAGATTATTCTCCCCTGTGAACAAATTAACTAAACCTGTATCCCCAACATCGTGAATATCCTCTCCGCTCTGATTCTCGGTTAATAAGGGTTTAAACTCGGTGCTGGTAAGGGGGGTGACATCTTGAGAATTTGAAACTACTGTGCATTTTTTTATTGGTGGATTTCTTTTTTCTGTCTTGAGTAAGGGGATATAAATCAGTACTCTGGGCCTTGGGAGGGCCGTTGGAGTATCAGAAGTGGACCCAAAACCACTATCATTCCATGGATCAGAAATGTTGTCCATTATACATTCACCATGACCTGTTACAGCATTATCATTTAAAGGGACAACTGGATAAGTCACGACTTGACGCTGTTGGTCCTCCTCTTCTGACATATTGGTTTCCATACTATTGTATTCTGGTAAAGGGTCTGAATATACTGAATCAGATTTATTATCATAAGATTGTAAGACACTTGGCAATGCTAGATTTTCCAAACGATCAATCGGGTTATATGGTCTGGTAATCTTATTATGCTTGTTCAGAGTTCTCTTCAGCCTTCGAGTTACTCCTGATTGTAAAAGAAGTGAGTTCAGGCTCCTCTGTGAATAGTATATTTGCCTATCTTGGTAGGGTCCCTTTGAATAGGTCCTATGATGTGAACTTATAGACTTGTAATTTGATTTATACATCTGAAAACAAAGTTAAAACTTATTTAGTGGGAAGCAAAACAAACCAAAAGGACTATCAATTTCAAGATTACAATCTTTTGTTTCTTGGAATCACTACTTTTGTCTTTGGACAAAGCACAAAGGCTTAAGTAGTTAATAAAGAAACGAAATAAAGTTAAGTATTATAATTATATTCTTAGTAATAAAGGTACTCATTCTCCTTGAAAGAAAATGCAGTATATTACAGAAAATAATGACTTTAATTATAAGCTTTCTTTTTATCATTTCTTTTTTATGTCTTCGTATAATGGAAAATTGTACACGTACAGATCATAATCGGATTTTTTTTTTATAGAATGATCAAACACGTTTATATTTTTTGTTTAAAATTTTAACCACTCACATGGGCCCAAATGTACCCTGCTTTACAAATCTTCGATCAGTTTTACGTTAATTTTTATCTCTTTGTCTAGCCGTTTGACACTTATATTAAATAGAAAACTGACCGGTCAGCAAGGGCTCCGCAGAGGGGAAGAAATATAAGGGTGAAGCTTACTAAATGAAAATTTTACTTCATTACAAAAATGTAAAAATATATGAAGAATAATAATTAGTATCTGTATTTATATAATTTCAAGACAATTCCTTAATAACCAACAACCCGTAAATAATATCCTTGTATTTACATAAAAAACATCATACCTTATAATAACTCAATTAAATGTATATTAATTTTAAACAAGAATTGAAGTATGTGTTTTATAAACAGGGATTTATCAGCCTATTTTGGGAAATGCCATTTTTAGGGAATTAAGAAAATATTATCGGCTATTTGCTGAAAATGGGAAAAATTTCAAAAATCTTGCTAATGTCATGTATTCAGGTGTAATTCATTTAATATTTCAGCATGAACTCTAATTTTGGACAACCAAACAGACAATTAAATAAGATAAATCCAACTTCATCATATACAAGATCAATTGTAAAATAATAGACTTGAATTGATTTCCATGAGTATAAAGTATTAACTAAGTATAAACTAAGGGTAGTACATGTTGTTTGAGATTCCAATTTAGGTAATTAAAATCTGTTTCTGGAGATTTTAAACCTCCTGCAAAATATTATACAAGTACACATTTTCTTAAAGTCCCCTTTTAATATGTAAAAATGCATTGAAAATAAATTTTTCTATCTAAAATGTATGCCTACAGTTCTTATCATTATCATAGATCAATTGAATAGGTGGAAATAACTTAATAAATCTATATTATTACACAATATCACCATTTTCAGAAAAATGGAGGAAATTCGGATTAAGAAATCGCCGATGTTCATTAAAGGTCAATTTTGTATGATGTATACATTCTCTGAATTGTGTATTTAAAAAAAAAATGTTCATACTTTATTTTGATTAAAATACACAATGAGTTATCATTTACTGAATTCTAAAAGTAAGATAAAGATGTCTTTTCATAATTATTTTCTTTTCCTCTTCTTTTTTTGTGTTTGCCTTATGTAAAATCAAGAATACTATAAATTTTTACAGGTAGTCTGATATTAACTTCATTCGATATAGAATGATATATCATTGCTTTAAAGTCCTTAACATTGTTAACTTTAAAAGAAATGAGAGAACAGTACAATTAATCCCCTGGGATTAATTATCTTGCTTGCTACAGAAACTTTAGAGACTTATCTTTATCTGTCACTTTAAGATTGATTTACAACTTTGTCTGCAACTGAGGTTTGTTTTGCAGTTATGGTCAAGCGTTGGTGTTATTTGCATTAACTGAAGGCTGGCCTTTTATAAGGGATTTATCTGTACCTTCTCAGGGGTCCAAATTCGGCCCTATTCCCAATTGAAAATAAGTTCATTTTTTCCCAATTTGGCAGTATTTTTTCCCAATTGGTGAACAATTCTTTATATTTAATTATCTTGAAAAAAAAAAACTCAGTAAAATTGTCAGATTGTCTGTAATTTTTCTCTATTTATCCCATTTAGTAAAGCTACCGGTAGTCTTAACACGTTTAAAAACACTGTTAACTTCAAAACAAACTTCATTTGCAGACAGGGATGTTTATTATTCTCAAGGTGACAGATGAAGATAAAACTTTGGATTTAATTCAAGAGGAGAGTTAATTAATCCCAAGGGACTAATTCCAGCTTTTAAAATTTAGAATAGGAACATTTTCAGCAGTCATCTCTCTTTGTCCATTCATTCTTGTATAAAGTTTAGGAATCTACCCCACCATCCCAGCTCCAAACCGGATGAAATAGAGAAATAAACTTACATGTAGCATCAAAATATGTCTTACTGTCGATTCAACCAACATACCAAATTTAAATTTAACCATAAAATTCAACCATAAAAAGTAATTGGAAAAAAAAACCAAAATTTGTGGATGGAAGAATGACAGATGGACAGAAAGACAAATGGACAGAGTGATATACTATAGGGCACACACAAATCCTTGAAGGGCCCTTATTAATGCCAATATTTATTACAAAATCAAGTATAATTTGATGATAACAAAGCATGGCCATGGGCCTTAACCGTCACTCACCTTAATGAAATATAACACTGTAAAACATGTTAAAGGGTCCATAGAAGCATAGAATATACTAAAATAAACTGATAGATGAAGTCTGTTGCCAAAATGCAGGAGAAATTGGATAATCAGAGATTAAGAAAATAATTACACTATTACTCCGTAAAAAAGAAGAGTTATCTGTTTGCTTGTATTGCCCCTATTTGTCACTTTGACCTCGCAGGCTAAACAAAAATAACACTGCTTTAGCACTTTTAGTAAACCGTATCTAATTCTCTTTTACAATGGCCTCTCTTGGACTTTGAAGAACACTTAAGAACTGCAAACAATAGTATTGTTCTCCCGCCTATCTTCAAGTCAATTTTCAAAAGTTAACACATTTGAATGATTTTTCATATCTATATAGATATTTATATGAAGTTTCATACAGCATTACTTCTTTGGGAAAACAAAGAGAGATAACTCTATAATTTTGGTATATGTTTACAAACAAAAAACTACAACAAGAGGCCCAAGGGCCTGAGTACAATACAACAATTTAGAGGATCCATAAACTGATAAATGAAGCTCCGATGCCTAAAAGCAAGAAATATAGTATGATTAGCATCAACAAGATAATCAACAAAATAATTGGTCTAGTATCTATCTGTCCCCTATTTATCACTATTACCATGCAGACTATTTAACAAAATGTCTTTTTTTTTACCCCATATTATTATGTTCCCCAAACGAAGTTTGGGAACATATTGTTTTTACTCTGTTTCTTATTATTATTATTATTATTATTATTATTATTTTTCTTCCTGGGTACTTTTTTGTCCGTGAGTGATCTCCGAAACTACACATCCGATTGAGGTGAAACCTTTTTAGGGTTACTAGGAATGTTATGTAGATTTGCGGAACGAAGGTCATTTTGCGCGCACGTGCATGCACGTGCGTGCGCGTGCAATGCGTAAAATGACCAATATACTTGATATAGCTGTAACTTTTATATTTTTTGATGAAATGCTTTGAAACTCAGAATATAAGGATATATTAATAGCGTAGACAAGATGACATGGTCAGAATGCACAAGCATGCACGTGCGCGCATGCGCATTGATTGAAATAACCAATACAATTGATATAGACTTAACTTGTACATTTTTTGATGAATTGCTTTGAAACTCAGAATATAAATATATATTAGAAGTGTAGACAAGAAGACTTGATCAGCGCACACATGCATGCACGTGCGTGCACGTGCGCGCGCGTGCAATGGGTAAAATGACAGATATACATGATATAGCCATAACTTTCATATCTTTTGATGAAATGCTTTGATACTCAGGATGTCAGGATATATTAAAAGTGTAGACAAGATGACATGGTCATAATGCACATGCAGGCACGTGTGCGCATGCGCATTGATTGAAATAACCAATACAATTGATATAGACTTAACTTGTACATTTTTTGATGAAATGCTTTGAAACTCAGAATATAAATATATATTAGAAGTGTAGACAAGAAGACTTGATCAGCGTACACATGCATGCACGTGCGCGCGCGTGCAATGGGTAAAATGACAGATATACCTGATATAGCCATAACTTTCATATCTTTTGATGAAATGCTTTGATACTCAGGATGTAAGGATATACTAAAAGTGTAGACAAGATGACATGGTCAGAATGCACATGCAGGCACGTGTGCGCATGCGCAATGATTGAAATAACCAACACAAATTATATAGACTTTACTTGTACATTTTTTGATGAATTGCTTTGAAGCTCAGAATATAAATATATATTAGAAGTGTACACAAGATGACATGGTCAGCGCACACATGCATGCACGTGCGTACGCGTGCAATGAGTAAAATTACCAATATACTTGATATAACCATAACTTTTACATTTTTTGATGTAATGCTTTGATACTCAGATAATATAGACATATTATAAATGTAGACAAGACGACATTGTCAATATGCACTTGCATGCACGTGAGCGCGCATGCAATGCTAAATTGACCAATATACTTGATATAGCTGTAACTTTTATACTTTTTAATGAAATGCTTTGATACTCAAAATATGTAGATATATTAATAGTGTTGACAAGATGAACCGGTCATCATGAACATGCATGCACGTGCGCGCGCTTGCAATGCGTAAAATGACAGATATACTTAATATAGCCAATTTTTTTTATCTTTTGATGAAATTTGAATATAAAGATGTATTAAAAGTATAGACAAGTTGACATGGTCATTTTGTACATGCATGCCCGTGCGCGCGCGAGAAATGCGTAAAAAACCCCAATATACTTGATTGCCTTATTTAATGAAGCTTACAGGGAATAAGACACCAAAAGGAAGTTGGGGAGCGTTTGGGGAACATCTGTAACGGTCCCCGTTACAATTAATACTAGTTACTTCTCACATTGGCCTGTCTTGGCCTTTGAAGAACATTTAAAAAGATAAGCTATT